GCTCAGTCAGTTTAGCTCTAACTCAATCCATACAGAGAGGAGTTTCAAAAGTTCTCCCTTCGAACTTGACTACTCAAGCTATTTCCTACTCAGAGGATTTCAACATTTCCATCTATCGCAAGCATCAACTAAACAGCTCCTTTGGTGATTCATTGTTACTGTAGTTTGTTGTGCTGATATGCTCTGTTATATGATGAAAAGAGCTTCTGAGTCATAATTATAAGCAATTATTTCTGGTGCGTGTTAGTAATTTGTTTAGCTATTGTGTGACTTGGCTCCATAAAGGTAGAGGTTTATTTATTGTGCTTCAAAAGAGAATAATATTTTTTTTTATTACCTGCTTTCACCTTAGGTACAACGTCAGCTTTAACTGTTGGCAAAGACAAAGAACAGAACCGTGATCATGATGTTTGATCTAAAATCCATTTTGACAAATGTCTAGCAGCACCATTATCAACAGCAGTACAGCTGTGGAACACAAATCCCCCCCAAAAAAGAAAAAAGACAGTGCTTTCTCATCTCAAAATTAATTCATGTTTTCCCAATTGAATTGTTAATTAAGAAAAAAACATGGAAACAAGCAAGGACATTTTGCTTTAAGGAGTGACAGTGTACCAGTGCCATGAGTGCATGTACAACAGTGTGCAAAACATGCAGCCAAACATTTATATTCTTACTTGAAGGTAAAGGGGCCTCCACTCCTGTTCTGACCTCTGGTACTATGTTTTCTACAACGACCTCCTGATCAGTTGGTTCTACATCAGCAGCAGGATCTGTTGGTTCTTCCTCATTACCTCCTACAGGTAAATCTGTCACTGCGGGGGTCTGGTCATCAGCTCCATCCTATTAAAAATTAAAGGACACATTGAGTTCTCTTTAGCATAGCAGCTCCTGAATAATATTATATATAGTATAATATAATAATAGTATATTTGTCAGAGTAGGTTTAAATAAGATGTTGTTTAAGACTTCCTAAAACTGCTACTGACCTCCTCCTGAGCAGCTGTTGCATCAATGCTTGAGGTAGGTTCCTCTTCTCCATTGTCGGTTGGTTGCTCAACATCTGTATCTGGAATAGCTGCGGGCTCTGGACAGGAGTGTGAAACAGAGAGGAAGTATTAAATCACTGATGGGTTGTATCATCCATTTATTCAACGTGTTATGGCATGGGCTGGGATGGCTTGTTTTACTGCACTATTTAATGCAGGTTGCAAACGAAACCAGAGAGGTTGAGTATTTTGCCACACCATGGCATATTGACATAGTTAATAGAAGGCATAGGTAACTAAGGAACAAATACAGAACTTATAAGGCCTTATTTGTAAAAAATTATCTTAATACTAATATTAGCCCTAAGAAAACAAAATTAATTTGCATATTTGAACACCTTGTGTCGTTGCAGCTGCTTCCGCCTCTGTGTCTGCTGCTGTAGGAGTTTCTGGTTCTGCGACTCCTTCACCAGCAGGAGTTTCTGGTTCTGCTTCTTCAGCCGCAGTAGTACTTTCTTCTGCGACCTCGGCTGCAGGAGTCACTGGTTCATCAGCATCAGCTGCAGGCTCAACAGTGGGCTCAACCTCATCCTCCGTTGTTGCTTCTTCCTGTATGTTCAAATAATGATGTTGTCAAGAAAAACAAATCCTAAACATTCCTAGTTAAAGGGGCCCTTAGGTGTTTTTTAACATCACTTAGCTTATTTGTTAGTGGTTAAGCATCTATGTCTGATTTACATACAGGCGCATAAGTCAGTTAGAAAGGGGCAGGGCTCAGATCTGCCCTTACATTTCATGCCAATAAAATTGCCACATAAAACTTTATACACCCAACGTAGGAATGAGACACAGGTTTTCAGACATCCCATATCAGTCTCCGCCTATTAAATGACTGAGGATTTAAAACTAGATTTTATCCAGGCCTCAGTAAGTTGGACTAGAAGATGAGAAGAAACATTTCATTACATTAATCTCCCACAAGACTAAATTTGAGAAATGAACCACCAAAATATTTCCTTTCTTCACCTCGACCGTATGGCCGGTGTCTTCGTCGTCGACAGGTTCTTCTATGACCGCAGGCCGTGCATCTGTTTCAGGGACCGGGGTAGCAGGATCCACTGCCTCATCTGTTGGGCCTTCAACGTCTACACAGAGATGTGTGGAGAAAGAAAGTAATAAAATAATGAAAAAAAGCACACACATGGTGAAGCACTGACTACTGGGTCATTTCAATTTCAACAAGTGGGAAAAAAAGATATGACTATCCTGAAACCCTGGTGCTTCAATAGTGTGCAACTATCATTTTATTTTTGAAAAGAAAAGAAAAGAAGGAGGCAGCCATGGCAACCCCAAATCCGTCCAATGCTTGACAACACAACATTCCTAAAACTGACAATGTTGACCAATAAGCATTAACATTATATGTCCAACCTAAACTAGAAAATAGAACAGAACACAAGACTGGTAGTGATTAGTTTAACCATTGGTAATTAAAAACTGCATGCCTTAATCCATCTGTTATCATTTAAAACCATTAAAATCATCTGTCTGAATGGTCGTTAAGATGTTGTGGATTCAACACATTCTCTAACATGACTATCACCACCGACACACACACATACACAGGGCCACACCCTGGTCTGATTGGTGCCTGATGTTAACGCTCCAGCCACAACTGGATGACAGACGCATCCATCACATCTGACCTGCCTCAACATCATATGAAGTCTCGACCTCAGTACTGGCATCGCAACTCTGTACTAATGAGAAAATACAAAGAGCATGTCTTTGTCATTCTGTGTGTGAGATGAGCGTGGTGTTTGTGTGTGTTGAGCCAGTGCTGCGAGATTCCCCTGTCGCATGTGAGAAGCTGAAACAGCAAACTGTGCTCTGACTTGATTTTTCCGTGCTCTGCTGATTTCAGCAGCACTCTGATGCTGGTTAACCGGGACAGCGCGTTCTTCCAAATACATGTATTAACCATTAACTAAAAGATATAGCCGTCTACAAATTATGGTATGAGGGATGCCGTGCTTCTTTATGCAAAACTATGATTAGAATGGATCTTAAAAGTGAAAATGAAATGTACTGGAAGGCCGTGCAGGTGCCAAATACACTCCTAGAACATGAAAGATTGAAAACCAAGGACATATCAGAAAGTAATAAGACAGGCTGCCCGGTAACATAACTCACTCCCTTAATATGATGACAGAAAATAATTATTCATCCTTTATTCATCCAAACGAGTTTCCAATGAAGGATCACTGCGTTTGCCAAGTGAGATTGTATCAGAATCAGTGAAGCCTTGAGGGAGAACGGCACGAACACATCTGAAGTATTTCCATCATACCGTAAATTCTCCAGAGGCAAGCAGTACTGATGACACCCTGGTTCCTCTTCACACACACAAACACACATTCATACACCAGAAAGAAAATCCATAGTAAGTAAGCACACAAGCACGGCTAAACACACAACACATGCACTCATGCACAGAAACGTGGATATGAAACATGCAGACACTCAGGCACAGATGTACGGTAACTGACAGATAAAAACAATCGCTCTTTGTTTCTCTCAGTCTCTGCTTTTCCAGTAAATGTCACTATATTAACTTATTGTCCAAGATAAACACGAATCATTGCCCTCAATGGTTTATCAACAAGGAAATTGCATACAGAGCTTTATAAACAGGACTAGATGTGTGAGTGCAGGTGTGGTATGTTTGGATCTTTCTGTTCTGTTTCATTTACTTACTTTGTGCATGTGATAAAACACACAAACTATGATGAAACTAAAAACAGTGTGTGAGTACATGATTCTGAGTGTGTTCATGTTACCACTTGCATTACATGTGGAAATGAGTGGGCACATTTTTTCATGGCATCATGCTTACATGCACGTGTGTGTGTGTGGTGGGTGAGGTATGGGGCTTTCTCATGTAATCCTTTGTGTGCTGTCACATGTGTGAGTGAGGGAAAGAGAGAGAGAGAGACCCCCATATAAACTCTCACTCTCCCTTTCTCTTGCCACTCCATAGAACATTCTGTTCCCTACTATCAGTTTGCCACTTCCTCCTCTAACTACCTCCGCTACATACACAGTCCTATACATCCCCCCCACCCACCAACACACACAAATACACGCGCACACACACGGGCAATGCGTACAAGCTCATAAAAACACCTTCTCCACCCATTTCAGTTCAAACATACAAACAACCACATGTTCACACACACGTAAGGTTCATGTGCACAGGCAAGTTCACACAATCTGAGTAAGCGGTCTTCTGTTTTGTGTTAGTGCAGCAGTGAAACAAATTGTTACACATCCAAACCCCTCTCCCTCCTTCCCTTATTTTCTTTTTGTCTTTAAGTCTGTCTCCCCTCCTTTCCTTCCCCCCCCCCCCAAACTCTGAACTCCCTTTGTTTCTCTGCCACTGCTTTCCCTTGAGGCCGATGAGTCATCTGTGTCTCTCTGACATGGCTGCACGCTATGGGACTGTACAGCATGTGCAGTGTTAAAACTGCAAAAAGGTCCCCGGAGAAAAACTCTTGAGTCAAACCAGTTTACACATGTGGGAAAACATCATGCTGTCGGTTACATTGTGTTCTTTTTAAAACTGGTGAAGTGGTTTCATAGATGGATAAATACACTCCCTGGCCATGCTATCCAGTGCTCTGACACATATTGTCTATTAAACATTGTTAAACATATGTCTCTCTTAAAGTGTCAGTCAAAACTGAACATTATTATCTTTGTAAAGGTTGAATATGTTGTTGAGCCTGTGTATTGGATTACATTGTATAGCTGTACCTAAGAAATCTTCAACAGGTATTGAATCATCTGACACATCTGTTCGGTAAATGTGAAGGCAGGAGGTAGGTTAGGAGTTAGATTAGCTTAGCATAGAGACTGAAAACAGGGGGAAACTGCTAGCCTAGCTCTGTCCAAACTAAGGCACCAAAATCCACCTACGAGCAGCTCTACAGCTCATCAATTAACATCTCGTGAGAGGGGTTACGTTGGGTTATGTGCACAGTAACTTCCTGTAGTCTTGTCACCATGAAAAAGTCCCCAGCCAATGATGGTCTGTCACATAACTTCCTCTAAAACTACCTGATTTTTTTCAGTGCACACAAAGAGTGAAAAGCTAGTAGACTGTGAGGAAATATTTGCTGAATTTGAAAAAAAAAAAGTATATTGGATTGGATTACTCCACCTTTAACTGGCAGCTGGTAGTAGCTTCATAGACTACATAATAAAAACCTAACAGTGGTAACGATATTCCCATCTATTTCAAATACATTTTATTTGTATAGTGCCAAATACTCAATCAGAAGTTATCGCAAGACACTTTTTATACAGAGCAGGTCAAGACCATAATCCTAAAGCTCTTGGCAACAGTGGCAAGAAACAACTTTTGAGGCAGAAACCTCAAGCAGACCCCGGCTGGGCGCATTTCTCCATACTTGGTGTATATGGGGGCAGAAACCAGTGGACATAATAGACAATCATTTTCTAGAACCTAAAGTTTTACTTACTAAGCTTAATAGCACTTGGGGACTTGTAAATTGAAGTGAAAGAAAATTGGTATTGTGGTGTAAAGGTTTTGAAGGGCTAAGCATGGTGTTCTCCAATTATTGAATGTGAAGCAGATATCAAGGGAGTAGCTTTAATCTGTCACCGGAATATGTTCCTGTGATCTCTTTTGCTGAAACATTTGAAACACCCCAAGGTACCGCCATGAAGAACATTACTTTCCATTTCCCTGATCTTCATGTTCCAGCAAGCAGGACTTTGAATTCACGTACATAGACGCACACATATTAAATCATTTAAACATCTAATAGTAGAATGTTATAGATATACACTTCTTAAAACAATTTGATTTTTTTTCACACACTTGGCTGTAATAGTGTTTGATGTCTGATGTTGATTCAAAGGCTGAGACATGATAAAACTGTTTACCTGGGCACCTGATACTTCTTTTTCTGTATGATAAATGATAAAAAAAATCTTTTTATTTCCTTTATATTCACACCTTTTGTTTTAGCAAATTATAAAAGAACAAAGAAGTAAATTTACTGCACTTTTAGTTACGTAACACAGAGAACTGCACAGTCCAGATTACATAAATTGGAGTCTGAGGCATGTTATCCGTGCCAAAGGGAGAGGAACTTCGTTTTCTGACTCTTTTGGTTCCTGCCGTGAGATTGTGTGAGATCGCCTTTTGCGTGTGGTTGAATGAGTAATAATCCGCGTACATGCATGTGCGTGTAACGGATAACCAGGCCTTCCTCCGTAACAGTACACCAGGAACTCTGTGTGTGGTGTGCGCTGCTGTTGTGCTGTCTGTGTGTGTGCTGCTGGTGTGTGTCAGGTGTGCTGTGTCAGGTGAACATCACCCTCTACAACGCATTGTTCTATCCAGGTATCGGTTCTATTTGTGTGCTTTTGTACGGCCAGAAAGTGCTGTGTTTCAACCCCCTCCCATGCACCACCTTGAAACCCGCCCCCATCCGGGAGCAGGAGAGGAGAGGGGGAGAGTGAGTGTGTGATTGTGTGTCTTAGGCGTGTATGTCTGTGTGAGTGAGTTTCACTCATCCAACATAAGAGTGATTTATGTGTTTGCAGTTGAAGGTGTAAACACAGACAAGTCTGCACACACACACTGCACATGCACACCTGGCAGACATCACACAGCTCTTTTTTTGCTTTCATCTGCCTCTAAGATACACACATGCTCTATACCTGACTTACACACACACTCACATTGATGAAGCAATCCCACATATTCTGTACATTAAAGTTATAGCCCACACCCACCCAAACACGCTCACACACACACAGATGCTGAGGGCCCTGGGGGAGAGGAAAGCGCTGAAACTAGTTGTGTGTGTTGGGTGTTGTCTACAGCTGGAGCTGGATCTAGTTACCGAGACACTCCCTATCCTTCGCTTATATAGCTCACACACACACACTGTACATGATGAGCACACATGCGACTGACCTAACACCCCATCTTCTTCCAGTGAATTGGTGTAAATGCAAACACACTCACGGAGCATGTAGAGCGAGGTTACAGTTCAGCAATTAGAGAAAAAGTGTGTGTGGGAAAGAGAAGGGAACAC